AACCTAGAGAGAAACTGACTTGGGAGACAGGGTTTGGCACCTCATCAGACCCAAATGGAAAGCACTTATAAGGGTGGGCAAACAGACCTCAACAATTTTTTTTTCCCCTCGTTTGTTTTTTTCTTTCGCTCCACATCTATCTATAGAAGATAGCAGGGCAATCCGAGGAGAAAACAATTGGACCGGTGGAAGAGGAGGGGGTGGGGAGGTGAGCGGGCAGCCAACAAACTCAGGGATAAGGGAAAAACAAGAGATCTAAAACTGATGGTGAGGAGGGTGTGTAATGCCTGGTGAGGTTTGCGTGCAGTGTATCCGAGAGGAATTACTGAGAGCCGAGTGAGCATAATAGTGAGACAGGAGGAAGGTAAAATGAAAGAGAGGACTGAACTAGGCGGCAAAAGCTATTTATAGAGGTATAGCTAGAGGCATGTGTGTGTGTGTGTGTGTGTGTGTGTGTGTGTGTGTGTGTGTACAAATTCATAATGAAAGGGATAAAGCCAAATGTATGTACTAAGGTAGCAGACAGACTTTGGGCCTCTACTCAAGGCCTCCCTAAACACAAGAACACTTTGTTCTAATAACCTGGCACTTTTTGATACTCTTCTTCCCAACATGACCACTGACGACAAAATAGGAGCATAAGCAAATGTGGTGAAGGGAACGAATGGTGCCTGGCTATCAAAAGATATCAGGGCTGAGGTCTTAAAATCATAACACTGTGAATGAGGTGGGGAGTGCGGAGTGAACACCCAAAGTCCATTTGTAGACCACTGGAGATCCCCTTACAGAAGGGTCTCAGGAACGAGACGAGCCAGTCGGGTGAGATGTAGCGCCGATGAAAAATACAACTTTCCTCTTGTTCCTAAATGCTTCCTCCCCCCCTACTATCTTGATCCCAATTCTACCTTACAAATATGGCTAGACCAGAAGATGTACACTGGTACAGATAGGAACTGGAAACACAGGGAATCCAGGGCGGATGATCCCTTCAGAACCAGTGGTGTGAGTGGCAATACTGGGAGGGTGGAGGGAGGGTGGGTTGGAAAGCGGTAACCGATTACAAGGATCTGCTTATAACCTTCTCCCTGGGGGACGGACAATAGAAAAGTGGGTGAAGGGAGACGTTGGACAGTGCAAGATATGACAAAATAATAATTTATAAATTACCAAGGGCTCATGAGGGAAGCGGGGGCGGGTAGCTGATGCCAAGGGCTTAGGTGGCGAGCAAATGTTTTGAGAATGATGAGGGCAATTAATGTACAAATGTGCTTTACACAATTGATGTATGTATGGATTGTGATAAGAGTTTATGAGCCCCTAATAAAATAATTTTAAAAAGAAAGAAAAAAGCTTGAAGTTAAACAAGCAGCCATCCAGCAGGGAAGCAAATAAGTCCACACATGGAAGAAGCACACCAGCCTGTGAGATTATGAGGCACCGACAGGATCAGGTATCAGGTATCAAAAGATCCAAAACAATTACATCGATGTGAAAGAGGGGGTTTGGAGTAGAGACCCAAAGCCCATCTGTAGAAAATTGAACATCCTTCCACAGAAGGGTTACAAGGAAGGGATGATTCAACCAGGATGCAGTATAGCACCAATGAAACACACATCATTTCTCTAGTTCCTGAATACTTCCCCTGCCCACCCACCCCCAACTCCCCCACTACCATGACCCAGTTCCACCTTACAAATCTGGCTAGACCGGAGTACACATATTGGTACAGATAAGAATTCTCGACACATGGCATTCAGGACAGATAAAACCCCCAGGAACAGTAGTGGGGTAGTGATATCATGAGGGTGGGGGGATGGTAGAGGTGAGAGAAGGGGGAGAAAGGGGGGCTCCATCATAAGGTTGAATATATACTACCCCCAGGGGGACAAATAACAGAAATGTAGGTGAAGGGAGACCACAGACAGCATAAGACACAAAATAACAATAACAATACATAATTGGGGCAATGAATGTACAAATGTGCTTTACACAATTGATGTATGTATGGATTGTGATAAGAATCGTATGAGCCCCTAATAAAATGATTTAAAATAATAATAAAAAATAAATTTAAGATACGCAGAGCAGAAAAAAATACATAATTGATCATCAAGGATTCACAAGGGTGGGAGGGTGGGGGAGGGATGGGGAACAAAAAGGACCTGATACCAAGGGCTCAAGTAGAAAGAAAATGCTTTGGAAATATTGATGGAAACATATGGACCAGTGTGCTTCATACAACTGGATAAAGGATTGTTCTAAGATTTGTAAGAGTCCCCCAATATAATGATTAACAAAATTTTAAAGAAAAAGAATAGAAGAGGAGAGGGGTCTGGGTGAGAAGTTGTCCCGTTTGTTTGTTTGTAATGAATGCTGTTTCCTCCTCTATGGTAGATATGATACAGCTGGTATCGTTAACCTGAATGAGAAGCAAGGGGTCTAGAGCCAAGCATCAGGCTGGACTCAAAGACCCCAATCACTACAATGCTAAATGGGAGAACCAAGAAACAGGAGCACTTAATTCAAGGTCATGAATTTTCATTTTATCCCCTTTTTGAGGATCTTCTGGAAACAAAGACATAGGCCCCCACAGGAGGAACATTATTTTTATTTCCCTGGGGACAAAAATAACATTTGCGTGAATCGCAGTTTGGTTTCTTGGCTATCTAAGTAACCACCTAGGCCTTAGTCATGAAAACGATCCCTAATAAGGGGACATGCTATATAACTGTCAGCACCTTCCCACATTCCTACAATAAAATGAATGCATGTTGAGATAGTGTATTGTGCCAGCCTGGCTGATAAACGCATATATGATTTAACAGTTCATTTCTCATTATATATCTAATTCTCTTTATAAATAAATATATGAAATTATCAGGGATTTGGTTTTATCTCTCTAGAGAACCCTGTCTAGCACACGTGTATACAAATCAGAGCTCATACATACACTTGAAACTGACTTTCTGAGGGAGCCGTGTTATTTACTCCACTAATTTTATTAGTTTTCTAAAAGTTTTTCTTTGTGCTTCACAGACTGTAAGGTACTGCTTCAACAAGTTCAAAAGATTTCTTTGTATCAAAAGTTAAAAGTTTTAAACGGTAAGAAAAATAAAACATAAAAAAAACCCAAAACCTTACTGAAATATTAAATATAGATTTACCGACCATATACCATTCAACAATTTTACACCCAAGGCTATGAAAGCATGTGCCCACACAAAGCTTGTGTACAAATATTGATAGCAGTATTAGTCACAATAGCCAATACATGGAAACAAACCAAATCTCCCACAAGATACGGAATAGGTAACTGTTCCTTTGGAAAAGAATGAAGTCCTGACACACCTGCAACCTGGATGAACCTGGAGCACAGGCGCTCAGCCTGCAGACCCTGGTGAGGAACCCCCAGAACGGGCGGGCCCACAGGGAAAGAAAACAGAAGAGCGGTCTCCAGGAATAAGAGCAATCCCTAATGAACCTGGTGTCGCTTCGCGGGTGATTTTTTTTTTTTAATCGTTTTAATAGATGGGGTGATTTTCTATCATTGGGTCGTAGTGATGGCCACATAATTCTACGAATATATAAAGCACATAGATACTTTGAAGCAGATGTATTTTACAGTATGGGAATTATATCAATAAAACTATGATTTAAAAAAAATTACCAGACTACTTCCATTGCAAAATTGGTAACTTTTCAACGACAGTACTACTTTAGGCCACATTATGTCTTTGGGGCAATGTCCAATAGCATTATATAAGATCTGAGAGCTTCCAAAAGTTCATGTGAAAATTCCATTATCTTCTCATGCCAATTTTCCAAACATTTTAAATCACCCTTCATGCGCCCATGGTCCCAAATGTTTTAATAGAGTTCAGAACTCCGGTTTGGAGAAAAGGGTGTAGGGAAGAGAATAGCTTCCCACGCACAACACCGGGTCCTTTGTCTCTTGTATGCAAAGTGACTGTGCTGCGAGGTGAATAATGAGACAGTGCATGTAATATATAACTTAGAATACATATGTCTTGATGGCCCTCATTAAATGCCTCTAATGGCTTAAAAGTACGCAGTACAAAATACTTTCTATATAAGAAGCCTGTCTATAGCGTGTATTGTGATTGTAGCATTAGCTTCTGAAAATATACTTGGATGGTGAGGAAGTGCACCTTGGTTCACAAATGTGGCAAAATCAGTGCTCACAGTAGCAGCAGCAGGAGACGATGGAAGGGCAATGATTTGGAAATGAAACCAAAGATCATCCAACAACACCACGGAATCAGAGATTGCTACTGCTAGCAATTTAGGCATGCTGTACTCACTCAACAGTCCTCAACAATAAAGAAAAACTCCTTCAGTGGCAGTGCGGCGAGAGGGACCTAGAAGATCAGATATGGGGAAACCACTAACGATACAGGCCGAGGACCAAAACTGAGAGGGCTCCTCCTCAGCACAGAGATGCTCACTGCTAAGGCAGGAGGCTTATTCAAGACGCCGAAAGGCAGAGCAGGCACAGTCCAAGATAATGGTGTTTGCACACCTTCCCAACCACATAACACCCTATTTCACAGAGCGTATAATGAAGTTAAGCCAGGGAGAACTGGATTGAGCTAGAAATGAAAATCTCGTTTGGCTGCTTTCAGTTTCTATGTAAAGGAAGAAGAGTCAGGTTTGAGAAGGGCCAGGCGCCTCCTTCTGTGGTGACATTCATTATGTGACACTTTAAGCAGGACAACACATTTAAATGTCTTGCGTTCAACTGAAATGACTTTTTCCACTATAACCTCCGAGGGATTCCTGTAGGAGAACTCCCAAACCATGCTGTTGTTGCTGTCATTTTGAGAGCTGAGCTACAATCACAAATCCACACTTATATAACAGAACAAGACAGAAGGGGGAAAATTAATTTGGAAAAGAAAAATCTCCCAAAGTCAAGACCATACAGAAGCAGGCTAAGCTAAACACATTTGTGCTCACACAGAATTACTGCCACTACTTACCACCTGGGTCCTCGGGCTTGGTTTCTTTGCAGGCGTAGCTATGTGCCCGCGGGCCACCTCTTCGGAAACTGAACTCTCTTTGGAATTACTCAAAAAATCCACTTCGTCTTCAGCTTTCACGTCCGGCATGTCTAAAGAAAAGTAAGGGGTTATTAGAGTGCATCTGAAGATCTGATTCCTGTGCCTCACTGTTTACTCAACCTTCTCTGGTTATCATGTGTTGTGTTTGTTTTTTGCTTTCGTTCTTTTAAGTGGAAAAATTATCTTTTGCTTCCCACAGTTGATGTCATTTCTGATCCTGTGCTGAGCTGTTCCTTGACCGCATGGCTGTATGGTTTTTCCGAAAAGCAGCCAATGATCATAGCCTTTGTATGGGTGGAGAGCTCCAATTCCAAGTCTATTGATTGACCTTCTATTTGAAAACTATAGCTTTTCATGACCAATCTAAGCATGTGGTGCTGACTTAACAAATGGAAAAGTAAACTCATCATCTTTAAGAAGACAAAATAGGTGGCCTATTCTGACCGTCATCCAAAATGCCAGACACATATCAGTATAAGATACAAGAGAAGCCTTCAACATGTTTTAAAAAAAGGGAAATTAAACAAATGAAAGCAAAACAACTAGCACAAAAATAGTAAGAAGGCTGACACAAGGAAAAGCCCATCACTGATCCTTCTATTTACAAACTGTGATGGTACTGGGCCTTCGTGTTTACATATATTCTCATAAACACACACGCACGCAGCCAACCAGCCAAAGACATGTCGACAACAAAAAAGGGAAAATGCCCCTGAGAACGAATACAAGCCTCTGTAACAAGTCTGGTTTTCTTTCCGTCTGATCTCCCCACTGATGAGACTAGTCCAGTAAGTTACAGTTTTGTTTCAAGTCTTATTTGTTGCTAAAGACATAATACCAAAGCAGCAATTTTTTTTCTTAAGAAAAAGGTTGTTAAACATGCTCTCTCTGGGATTACGACATTACCTTCTTGCTGACCACACCCAAGGGACCAAATAGCAGCGGTTTCTGTTAATATGAGCCACCATATGATCAAGTAAATACAGGAAGGAAGTGATAAAATAATGTCTGGGGCACATTTCTGCTCTGACACTTCCTTACAGAGGACTGATGATTGAGCAGTCAAAATTCACCTTGATAACTAATCCAAGTACAATTTTCATCTCAATTTCAAGTGAAAAAGTCTGACGATTGTTATTCAGTGAAAATTCTTCCCTATTTAAAGAGCAGAGAGGTTTCTTTCATCAAAGAATCAACAGCATTAACTCAGATTTAATCTGGAAGCACACAGGGACAATTACAAAGGACCATGTGCCGATGATGTAGGACCATGCAGCATTTGGTTCGACTGGTACATAATGTTGTCAAGAGTCAGGGAGACACATCTGCAACTAGCAAAAATAACAATTTATGATTTTGGGGGGGGGAATGGAGGAGGGAGGAAAGATTTAGAAAAGTACTATAAAAGATTTAGTAAAGTACTATAAATGAACATATATAAAATGCCTTTCTTCTTGTTTAGCTCTTGTATGATTTTACTAGTGACTTAAAAATGGGTAAACAAGTTTATTTGCTCTAAGTCCCAAAGTCTGTCTTGAATATAATAAAATGTGATTAAAGTTGTTGCTGTTTTTTTTAAGGAAGAAAAATCTGACTAAGCAATTCCTTAGAAGCATCCCTTGATCAAAACATTGCTGAACAGGCCAGAGTGATTACTTCATTTTCGGGTTGTTGGAGATTTACATATGTTTATTTGTGAATGTGATTTTTGGCACCACTTTGCTTTCCTATACCCACCAACTGAACACTATGTACCTTGGCAAGTCGAAGCCAGTCACGAAAGCAAACAGTGATTGTGGAGACTTGTGGGCAATCTCTGCAGGACTGGTCCGGCCCAGTCGGGCACCCCCAGCATCCCAAAGCACAGGCATCAGTGCTCGTGAGGGCTCAAGGCTCACATTCTCTTCTTGCTACCTGGGAGTTTCGGGATTTCCCTATTTCGATTTCGATCTGGCTTTGTCTTGAGCAGTATATAAAAACAGGAAGTCAACAGTGTGCAGATGTTAGGGAGAAATGTGGCAACTTCCACTTCAGCAGTTAAACTTTGTCTTTTCACATGTAGCACAGCATGGTTAAATCCATGAATGGACTGCGAACTTCCCAGAAAATACCCTTTGGCTCTGAGCTCACTTGGGTATTATTTTTCCAGGGCAATGTGACTAGGACTTTCCCTACCCCTGATTTTTTCTGAAGATAGCCCCGACTCCTTCATCACAAACTACTTCTATCTGTAGTTTGAGACTATGAGCACCAAAACCTAGTAAAACAAGCAAGCAAATCGCCCCCTCCCGTATGTGTGTGTGTATGTATGTATATTCTCTCTCTCTTTCTCCCCAAACCCAAACACTGCCAAAATGTCAGGCATCTTTCTTTTCTTTCCAAGAGTCTTAAAATCTTGGCATTCAATTCTTGTCATCTTTGCTCTACTTATGAATTATTAAAAACCAAGCCTGAAATCTTCCCTTGTATCTCAGGCGCAACCCCACACCGAGCTTCCCTTTTCTTGGGTTAAATTCTGACTAGCCAGAAAGAGAAATAATTCCAGTCCACGTGGCCAAAGCCATCACACCCAAATGAGAAGAACCAAGCAGGCATCAGCTTACAGCCACACCCATTCTGCTGAGATGTCGACCTGCCAGGGTCCCCAAAATAGACTTGTTGCACCAAGTTGTTGAAAATCTAGAGACCTTCTCGTTTACGTTCTGAGACAGCAGTCAACAAATTTCTACTGTTAATTATCCAAATCATCCTTCATAACTAAAAAACCTGGTGTCACCCAAAATACCACCTCAACTGTGGGGTGGGGTGGGGGTGGGTACAATTAAAAAGGGTTAAAAACCCTTCGCTGGGATAAAAAAAAGATCACTAGGTTTAAGTTATTCATCTCCCTAAGACACTTAGAGAAGAACTTCATGACTCCCTTTCTCGATTTTGTTGTTCATTTCTTTCTACACCTCAGCCAAACTCTTAACAAGTACTACATTTAGAAAGATCTTCAAAAATTAAAAAGGAAAACCAACAACAAAACGGAAACAAAGGTACTCCTTACCTACAAGAGTCTGAAGGCGAACACACAGCTAGGTCCGTGCCTGCACTTAGTAACAGGTGGTGGTATTAGACCGTTTGAATCAAACTGACCTTTCAAGACTTTAGGGATCAGTACCAAGTCCACCTTCAGTTGCCGCGGCAGCCTCAACCCCCAATAAGAAGTTTTATTCCGCCAGTCTATTTCCAATGAGCAGTAGTGGTTTCTCTTTGCTCTCTCTGGACATGGTTACCCACAGATAGAACAGGCTTCTGGGTGAAGCAGCTGCACCGAGCAGAACAGGCTGCTTGGTGCAGCTGCTTCACCCAGATAAGCAGACACAAGGTCTGCCCTGTGACAGCAGCTCAGCTGACTGGGGCTGGGCGGAAATCCTGCATCCTACTCCCTGCACCGTGCATGGTCCTGAGTGCCCAGACGGCTGCCCCAAAGCAACAGGCTGTGCAACTGCAGGTCTGCTCCTTAGGCAGAAAAGAATGGCGGGTACTCCCTTTCCCACCCCTCACCCGCCCAGGACCCAGGACTCCCACTCTGGATACTGGGTCACCAGCTTAGAAAGATGGCTCTAGCTCTCATGAAACCATCCTCCACTCTCCTAAGTGTGCGCAGGAGACAGACCGGGGGAGAGGGAGGGAGTTTCAGGGTTGTAACTAAACTACAACCTGCTGAAACTTCCCAACCACACCTTTCAGTGTTTTTCTATGGCCTTACCCCCCCCCCCAAAAAAAAAAAAAAAAAAGAATTAAATCACGAGAATAAAAATGTCTACTAAATCCCTTTATCACCTCAGAGCACCTGTGATCTAAGCATTGTTTTCCAGGCTGGGAAACCTGCAACTACTCCAGTGTGAGAGACCTGTCAGCAATGAAGTCGGGAGTCTACAGCACAGGAAGCAACATCTGACCAGCCCTCAGAGATGACGTGCCTCTTTGGATGATACTGACTAATAACTTGGCAATCAACCAAATGAATGTAATTCCTCTAAATAAAGATGCTGCCGCTTCTTTTTTTAAGGCCCACCCTCACCCCCACCCACCTTCTTTCTTTTCTAGTGTATCACAGAACCACGTGCAAATTTTTTGCTTCTCAACATGTCAATTCTGTTTGGTTTTGCTTACCCGCTGCCAGTTCAGGTCCTTGGTCAGGCAGAAGACTTTTCTCTGTCTCCTCTTTTTCAGCAGAACCCCCTTCTGGCAGGCAGGCACTCACTTTCTCAGCAGAAACATCCTTGGGTTGTTCAGCCACAAGGCCTGACTCAGGACTGACTTCGCTGTCGGTGACCAGCGCTCCCGAGGCCTTGATGCACTCGATGACGGCATCCACTATTCGACTTGCAGCCTCCTCTATCACGTCTGCGCACTTGGGCAGATCCTCCGCGTTGGAAGACACAGTGCTGAGCAGATCAGGGACACTGCTTTCCCTGCATGGCCTGACATCTGTCACGCCCGGCAGGGCCCTATCTCCAGCAGCTGAGAGTCCTGTCTCTGTAGGGAGCTCATCGGCATTCGACGGCAGGAGGCCATGACTGGCTTCACCATCCATCTGTGCCTCCTGGGGGTTGTCTGTGGTGCAGCTGTGGTGTGCTCTCTGCAGCATCCCTTGCTCCCTGTCGACTGGTAGCTCCTCTGGGGTTGCAGCTACCTGCAGGTCACTCACTCCTTTGTCTGAGAAAGCTCCTGGCAGGCTTGGGACCATCCTCTCCTCCTGGCTCAACAAGATGCTGTGAGTGTTGTGGGATAACTCCTTTCTTCTGACCCCACCAGCACCAACCACGGCAACGTCCAATGTCGCATCGCCACTCACCTCACAAGCAGCAGTTCCACCCTGGGAATGCGTGTTCTCCACGCCAGCATCCTCCTCAAAAGGCTGATTGTGGTGAAGAACCCCAGAGGCATCTGGCACTAGACCTGCGGACAGAGGCGGGCTGCTCTGCTCTGGGTTCACGGCTTCCTGTCTGGAATCTGCAGTCAGACTTGCTCCTGGTGGCACCAATCTCTGTCCAGTTCCAACTTCAGTCAGCAGTGAGCCTTGTGGGGCCACTTCCTTGTTATGTTCAGTTTCTGCCTTAAGAGAGGCAGAGGGTGTGCCCAGAGAACGACTGTGTTCAAGTGCAGTGCCCTCAGCAAAGGCGGCTGAACCAGCTTCTTCACAGAGCCCCAAGGCTTCCTGCCCAGGAGGTGGTGTTCCCTGCTCTTCCTGTAATGCTCCTGAAGAAAGAGCGTCTTCTTTGACCAAGGGAGAAATCACGGCGTTGTCTGTGTCGTCTTGTCCCTGAGCTGCAGAACTTTCAGGGACCACCAGATCTTTCTCTTCTCCATGCAAAACTGAACCAACTGCCGCAGTGGCCTCACTCACACTCAGTCGGGAAGACTCAGTATCCAATGCCTTGATTCTCAGCACTTCTGGGGTGGCTGAGGGGCAGGGGCCTTCATGCGGTTCCTCAGGTCCCCCGGGACTGGCATTCCCCATGCTGGGCTGGAGCTCTGTAGCAGGAAAGAACGCCGTCTGGGCAGCGGAACTGTCTTCTAGTGGGTGCTTAATGGGATCACTTGACTCTCCGCCTGGGTCATCTTTACAATCTGAAGACTGCTGTCGTTCGGGAGTTGCTGTTCCTTTTCCTTTCTGGGAGGGGACAGCAGTAAGTGCGTCATCTTTGGTTACTGATTCACGGCCTGGCTTGCTTGCCAGAGAGAAAGGGCTGTCTGGTGTCGCTGCCTGGCCTGACACTGGTTCTTTCTCGGCTTTGGGGACAGGTGGCTGTGGAGGTGAAACCACTTCACTTACGTTTGTTAAAGGAGTTTCCAGATTCAGCCCTTCTCCCTGGCCTGCTTCATCTATAACTTCACAAAGGCAGAGGCCGACATGTGCCTGGACAGAGTCATCTTGTACAGACTCAGAGAAGACAGTGCTGGCCTGCGCGTCTTCAGGGAGGGCTGGAGAGGGTGGAGCTTGTGTGATGGGCTGCCCTGTTACGATGTCTTCAGGCTGGGCAAGTATGTCATAAGGTTTTGTCAACTCTCCATTAGAAATCACCGTGTTCAGTTGACCTGCCGAGTCAGCACAACTTTGATCACCTCCAGTTGCAGAATAGATAGGTGAATTGCTGATCGGACACTGAACATGAGGTGACTTTGTTTCTGGCTTCCGGCTTGGCATTACATCTTTATCAGGTCCGGGAAAAGTTAAATCAGAGGATGACATTCTTGCAAGGGGAAGGTTAGGATCTGACCCATCTAATATCTTGCCTTCTGTAGCAGCTGGAATTACCGGAGAGGTCTGATCAGCATTCTCTTCGTAACTTCTTGAAGTTTCTGTTTCTGCAGTTTTTTCAATGGAGGTTTCTCTATGGTTATGTACAGACTCAGCAGTTTCATCACCATCTGGGGAACTGGAGGCAGAGACACAGTTTGAAACACTAGCTTTATCCACAGGCTTACTTGTGACTTTTACATCAGAAGCCGCAGCTGGACTGGTGTTAAAGTCCTCAGTTCTTTCCTGTGTGCTTTCCCCTGCCTCAAGCACAGTCTCACGCAAGGTGGTATCTAGGTTCATGAGCCCATGTTCGGTTTCCCTGACAGTCTCTGGGAAAGTGGCAACTGGTGCTGAACAGACGACCAGCTCACCTCCACTGCTCAGAGACTCCTGGTCTGCACTGATTCCAGGAGCGCTGGTTCCAGTTTCTTCAGTTCTGTCTCCCGGGGCGGGACAGCCTTCCATATCCTTTTCCCCAGAGTCAGGAATGCTCTTAAGGCAGCTGTCTGGATCAGATACAGTTCCAGAGTCCACAATGGGTACTGGCTCCACCTCTTCCCCTTCTCTCTCCACGCCTTTATTTTTCTCCTTACAGGAACAATCTGTGTTCTCTTCCTTAACTATGCTTGACAAACCATCAGAACTTTCGATCCACCCCTTGGCAGGGCTCCTTTGGCAGGGTGCATGGTCACCGGTATCTTTATTAGGGGGAGGGCACTGTTGGCTGTCCATAGTCTCTGGTGAACAGGGAGGAGAAAGGCCATGTATATTTGAGGCACTTGACGGATCCTGTGCTGTAACCCTTAAGGGCGAAAGGTTGTCCATCTGCTTAAGGTTTGTTTTCTGGAAGAAATAAAAAACATTAAAAAATATATATCTGTCCATGGGAAAAGTTATCACTGACTCCTATGCGGGCAGATCCTGTTGGGCAGAACTCCTGGCTGTTTCAGCCCTCAGAGGAAGATGAAGCTGTCTATTCTTACAAGACTGAAAGTCTCTGAGGCCGAACAGAGCAGTTACAGGCTGTCCTACAGGGCACTGGGATGCAGAACTGACTTGATGGCAGTGAGTTGTTTATTAAAGGTCACATAAAAAGATGGCCTAAAACAAATACAAGAAGCCATTTTTCTCTTGTTCCTATCTTATACCTGCATTTTTCACACGCAGTGTGAAAAATGGCAAAGAATATACAAGATGACAATTTCCTATATTATGAATTTATTTTGGAGAGCAGATTAAAATTCAGTCTCAACAACCTTATTTTTTAAATAACTTATCTTATTTTGTTGTTAAGAATATATACCAGAGAATACATGCCTTTTCAATAGTTTTGACACATCCACGTTAGTGACACTAATCACAGCCTTCAAGGTGTACTTCCATTCCCCCTCTAGAGTCTCAAGTTATTCTCCCGACTGTCCCCGAGGCTCAAACCCACTCTTGGAGCTGCAGCTGCACCCTTCTTTAAAAAACAAACCCCAAGTCCCCAAACACACAAGTGAGTATCTTCAAGCGAGCAGCTGAGAACAGTAATTTTAAAGGGTGCTTTAGAGCAGCAGTTCTCAACCTGTGGGTCACGACTGGGTCGAACGACCCTTCCACAGGGGTTGCCCAATTCACAACAGTAGCAAAATGACAGTTATGCAGCAGCGACGAAAACAATTTTATGGCTGGGGCTCACCACAACATGAGGAACTGTACTAAAGGGTCACAGCATTAGGAAGGTTGAGAACCACTGCTTTAGAGAGAGAAAGAGGCCACGACTACCATCAAGCCTCATACATACAAACTCCAAACCCAAACCTTCTGCCATCAAGTCGATTACAACTCACAACGCAACTCAACTTACTACCATTTCATTGATTTAAACCCTGAGTGACCCTATAGAACTATGCCTTTGGGTTTCTGATGTGATAAACCTTCTTATGAGCAGACGGGTAGCCTTAATTTTCTCCTCTGCAGTGACTAGTGGGGAACCACAGACCCTGAAATTAGCAAGCCCAATGCTTATCTGACAGTCCCCTCAAAGGCTCCACTCATATACTGAAAGCCAAAGCCTAACTCATTGCCATCAAGTCGATACCGACTCAGTGACCCTATAGCACAGGGGAAAGTGCCCCCGCGAGTTTCCATGACTGCATGTTTGTTTGTTTGTTTGTTTTTATCCCGTTTTATTGGTACTTCATCCACATATTATACAATTCAATAGCTCAACCATACCAAGAGGAGTTGAACAATCTTTACCACAATCAATTTTAGAACATGTTCTTTCCCCCGTACTCACTGTTATTCAAGTAGTTATTTTTTCACATTTTGCCGAAAATATACATGGGAATGTAACTGTGGGAGTTTTAAGAAAACCCCATTTCCCCCCTTATCTATACTAGTAAGAACAAATCCTAATAAGTGTAGTAAGTGCCCTTCAATCTTAAGGTGTAGCCAACTGTACTCGATAAATATTTACTGAGGAGTTATACCTTATGATTTAATCATAAAATATGCTCCACCCAATCTAGCTTAGCCATTTTAGTTATGGGCTGATAATTCCAAGAACAGTGGCATAGCAGATTTTCTTTCCTTCTTTCCTTCCTTCCTTCCTTCCTTCCTTCTCTTTCTTCCTTTTTCTTTCTATCTATCTATCTATCTATCTATCTATCTATCTATCTATCTATGAAAACAGTTCCTTGGCTGTCTAATACTGAAAATTAAATACATGAGAATATGTAACAGAATACGTAAATAAAATATTTTTTAAAATATAGGAGTAATAGTTAAAATAACCACACTGATGGTAAAAATACAATGCAGTTGTATAAATGTTAACTCTCAAGGCCACAGAGATGACTGGAAAAAATATTTATAATGCAATGATGGAAAAAATTAGATCTATATTTAATCTACAATTATAATTATAGCAAAATCTTTTGTGCATGTAGATAAGCTCTCTAAGAAGAAATGGAGCAAATACAACTGATTATTAGGGCACTTTGTCTTTTATATAAGAATTTTAGTATTTAAAAAAATACTATTTGTTCAACACATAAACTATTAAAACAGATAGTTTAGTCTTCCCGATCTTGCCCACCCCCCCCATAATCCCAAGCAAATCTCCCTTCCTTCCTTCATTTCCTTGCTCAGTAAATATACAGAGTTGTTACACTACTCCTTCACTGGACTGGCTTTACCTTTCTATTTAATGGGTGCTTCATGGAAGTTTACACAGGTAAGTATGAAAGGTGTTGAATCCCTTCTTCCATAAAACATTATGAGAAAAATCAATTTTTCATCAGAAACTTCAGCAATATGCACCTTCTGGAAACAAACAAACAAACCCAAAACAAAACCCAAAGCCATTGAGTCAATGCTGACTCATAGTGACCCTATACGACAGGCTAGAACTGCCCTGTGAGTTTCAAAGATTTACCTGTTTTACGGGAGCAGCCAGTGGGTTTCAACTGCTGACCTTGTGGATCACAGCCAACCAGTAACCACTATACCACCTGGAGCCTAATGCCCTTCAAGTATTCAAAAGTAGTGCCCTTCTGTTTCCAATGAAAATGTGAAAGGAGGTCATTAAAGCCGATGAAGAATGAACATTACAGAACAGGACCTCGGAAACAAGAGATGCTGCTTGAAGACTTCTAAGCTCCTCACATATGCATCATTCCACCTTTTTAATTTCAGGTGCTTGCCTTGCATAGCCATCCCTACGGCTCAGTGATTACCATCTACCTAGCACGAAGCGCTGGAGAGGGAGGGGGGGCAGCGGGGAGGGAGGGGCAAAATGAGGACCTAATGCCGGGGGGCTTAAGTGGAGAGGAAGTGTTTTGAGAATGACCAGGGCAATGAATGTACACATGTGCTTTGCACAATTGATGTATGTATGGATTGTGATAAGAGTTGTATGAGCCCCTAATAAAATGATTAGGGAGAAAAAACAAAAAAGAACTTAGAAGAAAATTAAAAAGAAAAAAAGAAGCGCTCGAAAGAACATTCTGATTTCTAGGCAGTCCATTCAGAGGAAAACAAAGTAACACCTGTTCTGGAGCAAACATTATGCTAAAAGGCAGAGGGCAGGCTCCCCGACCAGATAACCCAGCTCGGAAGTCTCTGGGCCTGCTGCTCCCAAAGAAGCCTCTGACGCCGAGCTGACCTTAGGTGACCTTTTATGAAACGACTGTCAAGCTGTTCCAAATCAAATCAGCTCCAAACTAAACCGGGAAGAAAATTTATCTGAACTTAGCCTCGCAGATGTTATGGCCACCAGAAATGTACCCAGATGACATTTATATTATCCATAATATATGCTCCCAGGGAGTCTGAAATGTTTTTATGTCTGGCAACAACTTTATCTTCTGTGCTTCAGTGGGCTATAAAACTTACATTTTTTAAGTGATATATTTACTGTTTATCAATTTAAATATAGCAACACTGTCATTGCTCGGTCAAAGGGTCGTTTGAGAAAGCTTACTTCTGAGCAAGCGGGTTCTCCTCTGCCAGCAGCTAGCTCAACAGGGGATGGGGCCTGGTTAGTTTTATACAGTTAGGCCAAACACAGGCAGATTTCTTTGTATGCCAGGAAAATTTGGCTCCCATGGTTACTTATTTTTGTATTTATCTCGTGTGTATGTGGTTTTGGTGTGTGCGCACACGCACATCTTTCATTATTTGAAAATCTGACCAAAGCCAATGAAAAATTCTCATCTCCCTAGTGCTACAGGTCTAATGATAACTCTGTATCTGCAAGTGCTAATGCTATTATTGCTGGTTTCACAGTCTTTGGGGGGGACGGGGGAACATGTTTATGCTTTAGTTTTAGCAAGAAAAAAACCCCATAAACTCCTGGGAACAGAAACATTCTTCTTACCATTAGCTGCTGCTGGATGTTCCTAAGTTTGAAAACATGCCCAGTGCAAGTGTCTCCAGTAAACTGGGGTTCATGCTGTGACTGAGAATCAGAGGTTAATGTATAGATGTCCAACTCTCGATGATGTCTCACAGAACAGTCTCCATAGGGTATTTCATGGGACAGACTGCTCCAGGATTCCGGTTCTCCAGCATTCTCCCTGCAAAGAAACAAGCTCTAGTGAATACATACATTCTGCCTCCCAGGTGGGGACTCAGCGCTCTGTGCCTTATATAAGCGCTCTAACTGATTCCGAGTGAAAAGGAGGCTCAGAGCAGCCGATATTTGGCTTGTACGGCAGCTCGGTTCATTAGGCATGTAATTGATCCCTCCATTCACCTCACAAGAGGTCACACAAAGGGGGCAAACAGCAAATCCAGGACTCCTCCCTACAGAGGTTCTTTTGACCAAGACACAGAGAAGTCTGCGAGCATGAAATAGTTAATCTTATGCTAACAGCAAACAATGGGAAACTATAACGAGAATGGTTTTAGCCTGGTTTTCAATAGAAATAGGCTTATTATGAATTTCTTTAAATGGACCACATAAATCCCAGCCTCCACACCCTGAGACCAGAAGACTAGCTAGAGGGTACTGCGCTACTATTACCAACTGTGCTGAAAAGGATCAAAACAGGTCCTGATTAGAGTGGGAGAAAACTGTTCAAAATAATGAAGACCAGCCTGAGTCATCTGACAGAGTGGTGGGACCCCCAGACTATGGCTCTTAGACCCCTTACAGGCCTGGAACTGGACTCAACTTTCAGCCATATGACAGACCCATATGGTGAGAGGTCCTACCAAGAAGGTGCAGAGTCCTGAAAACAATCAACCCTTCAAGGTCAAAAGGGTAGCATCTGGAAATGGGGAACACAGGGAAGAGGTGGAAAGGGCATATCAGGACCTGCAATCAATGCTCTAAAATAAACCATGTATTGACTGCTGAATGGAAAAACCAGTCCACTCTGTGAATATTCAAACAAGTCGCCAAAGTAAAAAAAAACAAATAAAAGTTAGACCACATTATTATTAACTCCGGTCAATTACACCGAAAAGGGGACTCCCCGTGAAGGCACGCGGCAACTTTTGTTGGGGGAGGATGCACTTTCTAAGTTTCCCACATCAGTGCTGGAGAAAAACGAATACAACTGTCTTACTGCTCTGTGGCTGTCCACGTAATCATCAAATTCCACTTGAATACAGAAAGCTCTTGGTACCAAGAATTTCACTTTTAAAAGTACTGTAAATTTTTAAAAATCAAATAACGATGCTCAGTTCACATTATTAAAAATATGTATTACATACACATGTAGATGACATGGGTACAGGTATGTAACAAGGCACTCGAGACAGGACTCAAAATATGTCACCTCTGGTTTTGGGGTTCTCTAATGCTAATGGAATGTCCATTATCAATTTGGACAGGGTCAGTGGAGTTCTTCCTCCAAGACCACAGCTGTTGCAATTCTACCCTTATGACAAGAAGGTGCATTTATGCCCATGATGCCAGATGTAATACACAATCCAAGCTCTAGTGTGCTTTCCATACGAGCTGAGAAAATCTTGGCACACTGCACCTTCTCACACTACATAAGAGTTTGGGTGTTTGGTAGCCTCTTGTGGGTTCATCGCATTTGATAAATGTCTGACGCCCCATTCCTTGACACAAATGCTCTTTCATGTCAGTTTGGAACACAGTGAAGTGCACAGTTGGAGAAATATGGGTCCAAATACTAGCCCTCCATGTCCTAGCTGTGGTGTTCAAAAGCGCCACACTTTTCCTTTTCTGAGCCTTAATTTACAGTCTGCAAAGAGGGACATTACAATTCAAGCAGTATATTGAGGAGTAGAGAGTAATGTATCTGAAACGTCCCTTTCTTATCCCCTTCCTCTATAAAGTTAACATCTGTGGAAAATCCTATATCATATTTATTATATCTCATCTAAGCAATCAATAGATTAGTAAGGCATCTCAGAGATTCTGAAAGAAGGCTGAAGGTTATGTTTCAAATCATTATCACAGTTTGAAAAATGAAGAAATTAAAGGTTAATAGACACTACCCCACCCAGAGATACATGTGAAAAATAGCACTTCAATTCTCTCTCCAGACTTTTGCCTAGTAAGCCAGGCATACCTATGTGTTATTAACAACTCACTTGGGAGAAACTGAAGTTTTGAAGCTAAAATATGCTAACAGTGAGAAACCTGGGACACATGCAAAAAAAGCACACTGCCTCAGGGTAATAGATAAGGTTTGCCCCAAACAAAACGACTAGTAATAGCCATACAGGAGTGCCCTCCACCCCCCAAAACAGGTAAAATAGAACAAGTTTAGCACAGGCTACACTAAGCGTTTTATGTACTTAGCAACCTGCTGTACTCCATCTGAAATAGTCATTTGAAAGTTCCATGGAATGACTCACTTAAGAACTCAATCAACTACACTCCATTAGGGGAAGAAACTTTTCTACAAAGTCAATTCTTCAAGCTTCGGTTGACGCTTGTCACTAACTGCTTAACTAATCGTCTGACAGGTTATTATTCACATCTCTGCTTACTCAGGTTACCACGTAGAACCGTGGTCCAACATAAATGAGACCCCTGAAAACAAAACTTGCTTTGGATAGAACCTTTCTGTGCGAAGCCAGTGGAACAGCCTCAGCGGGCACTGTTTGCTATGGCGGGAGCTTTGCCTTACACTAAAGAGTGACAGTTCATTTTCAGCAAAATACAGTCTTCTGTCAACTTTACTACTATAAATCCTCAAAGCGGTTTCATTTTCAGTATGTCAACTGTGGGAAACCCCTTGCCCACAGAAACTCTATGTTCCCTCTCTCGTGCTCCCTTCCCAGGAGGCTGTGCTTCTCCTGTCACAGTGACCTCCGGGCAAGGCAAAGAGGAGTCGATGCAATCATTCTTGGCTTATCTATTGCTACTGACATGATTCCAAATCCACCTTGCCCAAAGGTCTGGGAAGGCCCACCCACCACTGTTCTTTATCAGGGTTCTGAAAGAAACTCCTTTCTTTCCTTGTGGGGCTTTGTGATCACGGAAGAGGGCAAGGGGCTTTGTGATCACGGAAGAGGGCAATGACAACCAAGATACATAATGAACAAACAAAACAAAACCATCCAGTATGTATTTTAGAAGCCAGCAAGTATTGTGGAGAAAAAACAAAGAGATAGGTTTGCAACTTCAAATGTGATGGTTTAGAGAAAATGCCACTGAAACAAATATGTTTGCTACTCTGCTAAGTACTATATAAAATCCTTACTGGATCACTAAAAAAGTTTAGCAAACTTCTAAGGATAAGAATGTCTGCTGCAACTTACGTTAGCATTGAAAACCTGGAAAAATTAACCGATCAGTAACTAGGGGGCTGCTCAGTAATTTAAAGGGGGGAAATCTACATGATTTTATATAGTATCAAAAATAACTCTGAAATCCACAATTATGAGTAAAATAATACACAAGAGATAGAAGTGTGGGTGTGGTTAATTAGTAAAATGCATGGACTAATATCAGGGTAGTTTTCTTTTCAAGAGTTTCAAGCTTAATAATATTTTTTAAAAATCCATAGGCCAACTATGGATTGCTCAGAAATACTGCTCAGTAATACTCTTCCTACTCTCCTGTTTCTTAAAGCTTCCTCACTATGACGATGTAAACCTTCTATACTTTTCTCAAAGGTGCCCTGCTGGTGTTAATTGAAATGTCAGCAGTTCAAATCTACCAGCTGCTCTAAAAGAGAAGGATGGGGCTGTCTGTTTCCATCAAGATTTATAGCCTCAGAAACCCAAAGGGGCAATTGTACTCAGTAGTTCTGAGTCACTATGAACTGAGATGGACGCAGTAGCAATGGGTTTGGTTCTTGGTTTTTATAATGTTCTCAACTATCCTACATGACATGACCCTTGTCTACATCATTCTCAGGTGACTTTTGGTCCCAGTTTAGTGAGCTCAAGGCCATGAATGTGATCTAAAGTAAGCTCAGGCACTAACTTCAAAGATGCCTCCTCTAACAGCGGTTTTGCTCGTTTGCTCCTGTTTCCCCCTTGGGTGTCTGCTGCAATCAGTAACTGTCCTCTGGTGGCCTGTGGTATTCTATCAGCTTTTGGACTAGCCCTAGCTCTTTCCCCAGCCACCTACCAGATGCTTTCTTAAAACAGGAATCACACAACAGCAGAGACCGTATAAAGTATTAAAGGCAGGGAATAGAAGCAGTGGTGGCAGTAACAACCTTTTTTCAACCCGTAAACCAGCAGCTCTCTTCAAAGGGGACATTTGACAATGTCTGGAAACATTTTTAGATGCCACAATTAGGGACATGGTACCAGCTTCTATTGGATAGAGGCCGCCACCTATGTTGCTAAACATCCTATAATGCACAGGACAGCCTCCACTACAAAGGACCACCGGCTTCGAACCTGTCTACAGTGCTGAGGCTGAACAGCTGCTGAAAACCCACTGACTGAATTACTGTCTGCTTCCTCTCTTTCCTTCCTACAGGGAGTCACCACTTCTACCTCCTTACCACCCACTTAAAACACTTGAATCTTGCCACCTGGCGTCTGCTTATTCCTATGGCTATAAAAACATAACTTAAAAAAAATCATTTTATTGGGGGCTCGTACAACTCTTATCAAAACCCATACATAACATCCATTGTGTCAAGCACATTTGTACACTTGTTGCCCTCATCATTCTCAAAACATTTGCTTTCTACTTGAGTCCTTGGCATCAGTTTCTCATTCACCCCACCCCAATGAACCCTTGATAATTTACAAATTATTAGTATTTTGTCATGTCCGACGTCTCCCTTCACCCACTTTTGTGTTGTCCCAGGGAGGGGTTTATAAAAACATAACTTTCTTGTAGGCCACATGGAACATGTGAATCCTAAAATCCAATGACCATCCTTAAATTTCACTAAATTTAAAAATATTATCCTGGCCCTTCTTTTAAACTTTATTTTCATTTGCCATCCAGACAGAACCATTCTATAAACCTCGTTCTTCTTCTTGAAGTTAGTTTACTTTCTGAAGTTCGTTTTTTCTCTTTTACATCGAGGCGCCCAGCCCTAACATTCCTCCCAAATGCATCTCTGGATTAAAAGTCTCTGAATTTTGCACATTCACACTTCCAGTACTTGAAGACTGT